ATCTGAAATTTATTTCAATACGCGCCGAAGAGAGAAACCATACCCACTTGTCTAACAAAAGATTTTGTATGCATTGTTACACGTTCCTTATAGTACAGAACAGTTTCAACAATAAAGAGCTCGCAGTCCTTGATCGTGAAACAGACCTGCCAAGACTCCTTATTAACGAATCTTTGCACAGTTCACTCGACAAACAAGGATGTGCAACAGCTGCACTAGTTATGTGGATATCAGTTCAGACTGGAAGTGTCTGAAGTGTTTTGCACCTTACTTGTTTAATTTCCTTTCCCTCTAACATGAGCTCTTTCACCTTTTCCTTTGCTCGCAGTCGTTGTTGCACTTCTCTGACTCCGTTCTTTACCGCACGTTATGTGCACATAGTCGATGGGAACCATTGCGATAATCACACCGAACCGTTCATACACTGGTTTGAGTCCGTGTTTTTCTGGTTGTTTGTCTTTTGTGCTGTCTCTTTGAAGCAGGGGAAACGTAAAACGCGGTAAAGCAGCCAAGTTTCTGCAATGTGAACAGGTAACTGTTTGTAAATCAGGGACCGACGTTGGCTTCCACAGAGGACAGTTGAACAACGGCAGCCACTTCCCAATAACCAGTTGGTTATGACCACCAGTTCGGATTTTATACTTGTGCGCTGTAGCTTCGTTGGCCGACTGTATCGAGGTTCTCGACAAGATTTCACGCTTGTCGTTAGAGCTAAAGGAGAACAATTCTCACGGTGCTCAGTGGACAGAGAAATCGTTTACTGTGATCGTTGTCATGCCCCTGCGACAAGGACGAGATGATGGTTTATAAGAAGTAAAGGCGCTCTTTTATCACACACTACTTAGAAATTTTTCTGTACTCGTATCGCATTTTTACCGTAACTTTATTTTTGAAAATTTTTTATATCCCCTTTTAATGGTTGCCTTTCCTGAGACCAAAACTTCTGACTAAAATTGTAAATCCCGCACGCCTAAAATGGACAGGAAATTTTTAGAAAGTACATGAAGCTTTTTTAACACTGATTGTCATATTGTCATTTTTGACACTTTCAGGCTGTATGGCAAAACCTGACACAGTAGTGCATGAGAATACACTTCTCCTATTTCGTTCTATTCGTTGCTTTCCTACTTCAGTCATGGCCATTCATCCGTGGCAATGACGCTGAAACTGAATTATGCAGAATTAGCGTATGAGTCTGCATAGAAATGGAAAGTCTTCTATGCAAATCACCACCTTAACCGAATGCACAAGAAATCTTACTGCTAGAGGATCCTTTCTTCCATTTTTGTATAATTTTTTAGACAAGAGTGCCTGTCTATATATCTCACACGTCGGCTGGAACTTCTGTCAGAAACATTGTTCACTTTGCCCAGGTTTGACATACGCAGTAAGTTGAAAGAATACGATGTATACGCCGCTTTTTCAGCTGGCTAGAAACGGCCATTATGAAATGTATGACTATGGAAGTGCGGCGAAAAATATATTTTATTATGGTCAGGTAACAATATTTTGCATACTTCCGTATTGCATTCGTAATTTTGACGTAAAAATACTCTTTTTAAGGCGACACCCCCGGTCTATGATGTAAGGAATATCACCGTTCCGGTATCGCTCTTCTGGGGAGCAGAAGATTGGCTAGCCGACCCTCAGGACGTCGTCGATGGCTTGCTTTCCAAGTTGAAAACAGTGACTTCTCATTTCCTCAAGGGCTTCAATCATCTGGATTTTCTCTGGGGTCTGAGAGCTACCAAAATGGTATATGATGTCATCAGGGATGAGATTTATAAGGACCTAGTCATAGACAACTTAAAGTCCTAATTATCTCATTGCGCAGGGTTGTAAGCTCTGCTAGTGTCTTGTGGTTCGTACTGAAATTGGCATTAGACGACTATTGACTAAGGCCTATATTACTGAAGTGCGATTATGCATAGTTTCATATTTACACAGGTTTCAATCAATAACTGTGATCGTTTTGTTCTATACTTTGTATTCTGCTTTCTGTTGAAGACAGTGTTGACTATAATTACTGTTGTCATGTGAATGATTTAAAGTGTAATAATCTTTATGCAAGAATTGAAAGATCTTCATATCACTGCGATTTTTTGGCCTGTGCAATCGCTTGAATGCATATGCGTCTAGTATCCTGTGTTGTGTAGTAAAGTGAATGTCGTCCTATGGTCAGGGGTTCACCTCAGACCCACTAAATTACGGAGGTTTTGACTGCGAAATTATTGTCTGCACCCTGGCGGCACCTGCGACCACAGATGTTCAAAGAGGAGACGTCTACTGCTCAGAGTTGCGGCTATGGATATCTGAAACTATCTGTAGATATTTATAGAAATGTATATTTCGTTACTAGTCTTTTGACATATGAATATTAATGAGATAAAGTATTGACACATATTCAGGTGTTACGGCTTAGTGTCAAGTTTTTGATGGCCATTTTCCTTATCTGATAAACTGCGCTGTAAATAATGATATCGCTTTCGTTGTTTGTTTTTAGCGGTTTATGATTGAAGATCTGGTGTCATATTCAGAGATACGTGAATTTGTCTGCTTCTTCATATTGTGACGAGTGCAATGTGAATTGTTGTTTAGAAACGACTTTTCATAAGCTTTTTTTTGTTATGAGGTCTGCTTTGGTGCCTGCTCAGCTGACCGCACGAAGTATGTGGTCTTTTGAAACGAATCAAGCAAGATGAGATGTATTATGGTATAACATGTTAAATTATTTGTTGTCCTGCTTGTTGTTAAACTACAAATTAAAGTTACCGATCTTACCTGTGGTCAAGAGAAGGTCATCGAGAGGGTGGGTGATGGCAAATTGCAGTAAGTAAAGGGAGAAAAGTCAGACACAAACACAATGAATTTCATAACTTCTTATGACCATGGCAATACCCTGCCATAGTTGCTCACAAGCCGTGCGGTTGTGATTTTTGTTCCAGCTGCTGCACCAGAGTAGAGCAAATAACGCTCAAAGGGATTATTAGTGAATGAACGATACATTAGTACATACGTACGAAGCAGATTTCAAGAAAGCTTTCGAGGCAGTCTGCATCAGATGTGTACTGGATGGTGTGAGGAGTCACGGATTCCAGAAAAAATATAGAGACCTCATTGCCACGATTTAAAAGCATGCAAAAGTTAGTGTGAAGTTTCACGAAAGCACAAGCAAATTCAAAACTGACAATAAAGTTCTTCAGGGAGACGCAATATTTCCGAAATTATATGCATCGGTCTTAGAAGAGGTTTTCAGGACAGTCTGTGGGAAGAATTAGGGGTGGAATATAAATGGGTACTACTCAAGCCACTTGTTATTCGCAAACGATGTTCTGACGTTCCCAAACTACCAGAAGAACTCAAGAGGAGAATCTAAAAGCCAAAAGACTGTGGTGTCACAGCATCACTGATAATGAACTTGAACAATACTCAAGCCATGCACAACAAATACATGACTCCACGATCCATTGGAGTGAATGAACTTTGGCTTGATGATCTCTGCAATGGCAAAACGACTCTTGAAATCAACAGACTAGTAAAATGGTATGGAACACTTTTAGAAAATTGGAAATGTTCTTCCCCGGGATGCAGTCCTTGTGTCTAAAACGGAAACTTTTCGATAAGTAAGTGCCAACCTGCCTGAGCGAAAAATGAACCCAAAGCTACAAGGCTATGCGTATGCAGACTACGCAGCAAAGCCTGGAAAGATGTATGCTGAACAAAGCAAGAAACGCATGACCGGCGAGCACTTGGTGCACACAGTCATCAAATATATCGTTCTTTCGGCTTTCTGCCACGTTGATGGGGGGGGGGG